CTCCCGGGGGTCAGAATTTATTTTCTTAATTTTGTGCTGATGAAATGGTTAAATGGTTTCTTAATTTTGTGCAGATGAAATGGTTAAATGGTTTCCAGTAAACACTGACATTTGGTGATGATATGAACAAATATTTAATGCTTTTAATTGGATTGATTTTTTGGTACGATGATCATTGATCAATATAGTGTATTGGCGGCAGGAGGAAAGTTGTGGAGTTTCAGGTCTTCATCAATGGATTTGAAAGCATTGATCCTACTGTCTGTGTCTAACAGGACATTGCAAAAAGACATGGCTGCACCTTTTTGTTTTTTTAAAAGAAAACAACCTAATTTTTAAAAACTATTTTATTTCAATTAATCAGAAAATGGGTCCCACATGCGCCATCTTAAAAGTAGCTACTTGTTGCAATTTCTATATATTTGATTAACCCTGTATAAAAACAACATGACACCAGGATTTCTAAAATTATTGTCGAGAAAGTAACCTAATGTAATAAATAAAATAATAAAAAATTCTCTCATAGTCCAAACCATCAGGATTTCTAAAAACTCATGCAACTATACCTTATAAGTTTCTCATACATGATACTTCCCAAAATATAAAATGAATTCATCATTTGTTTAGTTACGGATCAAATCATTGACTACTAATTATTATCAAATCATTGATTACAAAAATAAAAATGTTGTGAAATAGATTGAATAAGATAGTGTCACCAAATATGAGAATATAATTGTATTTACTTTGTGAAATTACATTAAATAAGAGAATGTCACCGAATATCACGTAAATTACAACAACAACACAAAACTTTGAATCATTAATACTACACTTCTAATGTTATTTTTTGTACGATTATGAATATACATATAAAAGAATTTTCAGGTGAGGATGTTCCAAAGTATAAAAGGATCAATTCATTGAATCCTTGACTACTCTATCCATTACAAAACTATGGCTTCCTCATTTTTACTTTTAATGTTATATTTGCACTTTTAAAGTGTATGAAATAAAATGTAACATGTTTTTATTTGGAATCTTCTTTAAAAAGACATGATATGTGTATCTTCTGTTTGTTCTAATTGTGCACATGCCCTCTAGAATTGCATCATGGTCATGCAATTACATGTTTGAAATGCAAACACTGAGTGTCTGTGTGCAAATAGCAATTCCATGAATGAAAGGATGGTGTTTGAAAGGTAAAAATCACATTTAAATGGTAACGTACCAAATGAACGTCTCCATTACCATATAAACGCAATCCCTGGGTTTGTTGAGTAAAGAGACACGTTTGTGGGTAAAGGTAGTGAAAAAGGTCATTTTACCATTTAAACGTGCACTTTACTTAGCGAATGCAAAGATAGTGTTTGGAAGATAAAAATCACGTTGAAATGGTAAAGTACCAAACGAACGCCTCCATTATCATATAAACGCCACCCTTGCATTTGCTGAGTAAAGAGACACATTTGTGGGTAAATATAGTGAAAACAACAATTTTTGTATTTAAAAGCACTTTACTCCGCGAATGCAAAGATGCTGTTTATAAGGTAAAAATCACATTTAATTGGTAAATTACCAAATGAACGCCTCAATTACCACATAAACGCCACCCCTGCGTTTCCTGAGTAAAGAAACACGTTTGTGGGGTAAAGGTCGTAAAAAATACAATTTTACCATTTAAATGTGCATTTTACTCGACCAACGCAAGAATGATGTTTGCAAGGTAAAAAACACGTTCAAATGGTAAATTACAAAGGGGATTTGATTTGAGAGTTTAGGAATTTAGAAAATAAATCTCCTTGATTTGTTAGGTTAACTCACGTCAACATAAATAACCATATACTGCTATCAGATAAAGATAAGAGAGAAATCAAATTTTATTGCTTGTTACTAAGCTACAACAAAGATCCTTTTAGGGATGCAATTTTTATTAGTACAACATAGATCCGATAGTGGTATTGAGTACCAATTTACAATACCTAGTACTACATACTAATTCTCGATATCGGACAATCTTTTCTCCCTTGCATGATTACTTCCCAAAGTCCAAAGTCCTCCAAGCATGCCCCATTTTTAAACCCCATATTGTTGTGGACCGCGGCGAATGGTTCAGTGATACTAGTGCCGGCGAATGGTTCAGTGATACTAGTGCCATAATTTTCATCAAAACATTGCCCTACTGGTTCATGAAAGAAACAATCCATCAATGACGATCCATTGCTTGATATTGCAGATATCAATGGAGGCTCGAAATCACCAGCAAGATGATTACCAAATGAACTAACATGATCTTGGCCGCCTGCAGCTTTTGAGTCATTTGACATTAAGATGCTTTCCCAGGCTCTCAATATGTCGAGGCATTGTGGTGTGTTTTGTCCAAATAATTGATCAGTCGGCCCAAAGTCCTTATTATGACCTAATAATATTGATGAGGTAGCAGAAATATCATTATTGTTATAAGGATGATTAGCTTGTTTGTGTAAATCTGAATCTCTCACAAATCTGGCTTCTGCTTGAAGCCTGGCACTTTCCCACTGAGCTATATGGTTGAGATTTGAGCCGGTCTTTGGGTCATCAGTTGAACCATTGGCGGAGCCAAAGATGGTAGTCTTAGGCCTGTGGGTTACAGGGTCATAGCCTTTCAAGGCCAGTCGTTTCTTGAGACGAGAGTGCCAGTAGTTCTTGATCTCATTGTCTGTTCTCTTTGGTAAGTGCGCAGCAATAGCCGACCACCTAGCTCATATACATGGAACACAATATCGGAATCATAATTAGAGTGAGTTTTTTTATAATAAAAATATAGAAGTGTAAATCTAAAATGAGAGAATTCAGAATTCTTGGATGAGACATGAGACTACTATCTAAAATGGATATATGCGTACAAATCAAAATATTGCATGTGATGTACTTACCTGTTGCCTAAAAGAGCATGAAGTTGAATGATGGTTTGGTCTTCCTGCAAACTGAAATTTCCCCTCTTAATATCAGGTCGTAGGTAGTTTCTCCATCGTAGCCTGCAGCTCTTGCCGCATCTTTGAAGACCTATTATCATTATATATGTTTTATTTATTTATTTATTTTTAAAACAGACCAAGTTCAAAAAAAATCCTAGTCTTAACATTTATTGACGTGTCCAAATATGAGCTAACAAATATGTTACCCAAAACTCCCATAAAAAGAAATATATGTTACCCAAAACAGGCTGAGAAATTGTAATTGATTGGAAAGCTATGAAAGAAGAGTTCGTTATAGAAATTGACCAGCTTTCTGAGGCAAGGAAAGCCAATTTCCATGACCGTGTTTTTGAACGAAAGCTAAGAGCTTTTGGTCCTCTGCTGGAGTCCATGGACCTTTCTTCATGCCGGACGACGCAACACAGTCATGAGTAGACTTTCCCATGGTCTCTCTAAAAGAGCAGTTAAGAAGAGAAAGAACAAAGGAACTTCAATGGGTACAAGTGAGAAGATTGAGAGTGATAAGATAGGCACAGACTACCCCAAATAATGTTAATTTATACTGGGACTAAAATAATGTTAATTTATACTGGGACCGAAAGAATGATCACTATTTTATACTGGGACTAAAATAATGTTAATTTAGTACATTGTATGGCACCAACTTTCAGATATGCATTAACTATCAGAATCTTCAGTTGTCGGTCACACTGGACCACCGCCCTTCTTCCTCGCCTTTGTCAGACTTCAGGTGCCGCACTTCTTCTAGATACGTCTTTCTATCTTGTCAATGGGTAAATCTAGTTTAATCTAATTAAGGTACAATTAGATCTGGGTTTTGTTCTTCGTGTGTAATTCATAATTCAAATATATCTTCTTAATTATCTTCTTCGCTCTAATTCATTATTCAAAAATTATCTGGACCCCCTCTGATATCTTAAGTCTTTTTCAGTCTCTCATGTAGACGACAGCCGTACTTCTGCTCCATCAAGGAAGGTACCACCGTATACTGTAAACCTGTACCTATATATATAAAGCAAAAGGAAGAGAATGGTGAAACATTCAAAATACCAGAAAATGCCCTTAGTTAATACAAACATTAAGAATTAAAATTATTAATTAAATGAGAATAATATGGTAAATTCACACTTTTCATATTTAAAAAATTAAAATTAAAAGAAAAATCAGATAATGGATCCTATTTTTATGGAGCATAACTATCCATTATCTTTTTTAATCCTAAAATAAATTTATTTATTTATTTTTAAAAAAAGCCTCTTGCAGGCGCGGAAGCGCGTGCAGAGAGGCTAGTTTAATTTAAGAATCAGAATTTACTTTCTTAATTTTGTGTTGGAGAAAACCGAATGGATATATCAAAACTCTTTAATTGGTGGAAATCCCAGATTGTTTCTCATACAAACATTACTCTTTTTCTATTTTTCCTTTTTCCCAAAAGGATGTAAAAATTATGCGGATTGAGCCGATATGGCACAGCTCGTATATTTGAGCCATGTCGGAATAAGGTAATTAGGCTCAATGGGCTGTCCGGTTTAAAACTCATTTATTAAATTACATTTATTTTTTTAAAATAATAATACATAATATTATTATATTTATATATTAAATTCAAATCTATTTGTTTCTCTAATAATAATATGTATTAAAATTGATTGTTTTCTTTAAACCAACCCTGTCTTCTTCTTTCTCTGAAAAACCTGTTCTCCTTGAAACTTTTCTTCTGAAAACAAGTCACCTACATCCACAAATTATTTAATATAACGTATTGCCAATTAAACTCTCCTCTTCCCCACACTCTGTATCTCTCCCTCTCTCACTCTTCACCTCAATATTTCCATTCGGGTTTCCAGAATCCGCATTAAAAAATTTCTTCTTCATCATCAGCTATATTGCAATTTACATGTTTCTTCTTCTTTCCTTGTAATCATATTTAATTTTTTAGTTTATTAATTAATTACAATTAGTATCGTGAAAGGAAATTGGAGACTCCATTAGTATGAAATCCATCTGCATGCGCATATGCAACTTCTGTATGGTATTCGATTAGCAATTAGATATTTACTTGATTTACGTTGGTTCGTAATAAGAAAAAGAAAGATGGGGACATTGTGTATTTTTTTTCTGAACTAATATGCATTTCAATTTCATTCATCAATCTAATCATTCTAAGATCACAAAAAGTTTGTCATCAAAATTTGAACTGAGGGAGAGAGAAGAGAGAGAGGGGTAGGAAAGAAATTAAAAAGGGGAAGAGAATGTCGGGATGTGTGCTGGGTTGTGGGGCCTTATTATTATTATTTTTTTATTTTCAAATAAAAGTTAACTGAGATTAACCTTGTAACATATGTCAAGTTTTAAAAATGATGGTGAACATACACATTTAGTTAATTTGATGAACAAAAATACTCTCGCTAAAAAAGATAGACGGAGGCATCAGTCACTTAATTATGTCCTTCCTGAATTTAATTTTACATCAGCATTCGTATATTTGTATTATTTTATTGGGAACAAAGCCCAACAACAGAACTAATCTCCATTCACTCATGATGATGTATAATAGTTTGAAAATGAAAATAATCATGAGCAAATATATGTTGAGGATTGATACGTGTTACGGACTGATAGTGGCTCTAATGTGGACGTCTGTATTTTGTTAAACTACATTTTGTCCACAAATTAGGCTATGTCTTAGGGGATTTGGCCTGATAAATGCACGTTTAATTATTTATAAAAAAAATAAAAAATAAAAAGCAGTGGGTATATTTCAATTCTTATTAAAATCAGTTCTTACCATTCAATTTCTTCAGGTGAACATTTCATTATTGGTCATTATTTTCTACCCAAAACTATAGATGCAGTACCCTTCATTAACGTTTTTCATATATGAAACAGATCCTACTGTCTGTTGGTGGAGTTTCAGCTACTTTCTTTGTCCTCCAGCTGGAAAAGGACTTGGCATCAAAGTCGTCTTTTTCAATTTGTGTTTGTAGATAGGCAAAGTAGTCCTTCAAAGTAGTTTTTTGTGTGTGGACAAATGACATAATTAACTACCTACCACACATCGGACATAGCATATGATGTTGAAAGGTGCATTTAAACACCTTTTAGGGTTAGGGGAATTCCAACCAAGGGCGGAACCACACTAAGGGCTAGGGTGGACCGTAGCCCAGTGTGGTTTTTAAAGAAATAAAAAATAAAAAATCTATATATTTAACTTATTTTCAATATTAGCTCAGTCAGTGGCGCTGTACAGATTACTTTTATTTATTTTTATATTACTCCATTTACTTAAGTTTACAATGTAAATAAGGAAGTACCCCCCATTTGGATTCAAATAAAAATACTAGAAAATCAAATTCCCACCAAATCAAAATATGAAAAATCGGTTTTAGTGCAAAATACGATTTAGGCTAAAAATGATGGCTCATTAAGTCAATATATACTTCATACTAAAATCCCATAAAATCAAGTTTTCATATTTGATGTGTGAGGAATAAAAGCCGCCAAAAATTATCTTGAGAAAATGATTATTTCGAAAACCCAATTTTCATACTTAGTCAATATTTTTACATAAAACAACTTTTCATATATGATATGAATGCATGAAGGAACCTAAGGTCAATTTAGGTAAAAAGCCTTAGATGTTCAATCCATTATGGTGTTAAACCCTATTTGGTTTATGTTAAAACTTATTGAAAATTAGTCTATGGAGCTATGAACTAGCTTGGTTTATATGATTTAATGTTTGCTTTTATTTCTAGAAAGACTATAGAAATTGTAAGTACCAAAAATAATAATAATTAAATTTTAAGCTAATAACTTTAGCTAGCCCACCCATTAAAAAATTCCTGGTTCCGCCCTTAATTCCAACTGTTGTATAATTGCACTAATTTTGGTTTTTCAACAGTATGCTACACGAACTTCAAAACATGTTGTCTTACCCTGCTTTTGACAATTAAAATCCTAATAAATGGCTGTCCTTGACCTCTGATGGTTGCCCTAGGTAACGACACCCAGTTGAGAGCCCTAGCTAGCAGCTTTAGCTTAATCTAATCTCTGCCTTGGGTTATAATCACCTCCTTTGAAGTCCTTTATAGTAGACATTTGACGGGCACAATCTAAAAGTATTTTGGGTTTGATGCTGGAACAACAACACTAGTTTTTTCTTCTGAAGTTCGTGTATCAGTGTTCAGTGAAGCACCGATACTTGATGATTTAGGCCCAAAAGGATTTGGTCGTGTCCCTTTTATGTATCTCAGAACTTGATTTAGAATTAGATAGTTGACATAAGCGTGGGAGAATAGCACTATATATACCTAGTTTATAATAGTCTTTTGCTTACTTTTGTGTGTGATTTTATATGAGATGATTCACCGCAGTATAACTAAAACTCCTTAAGAAGATAGGCTTTTCTACCACACGGAGCAGGTATTGCTTAGATGTGAACCTTGCGGACATCTGTATAACTATATATACCTCGTTGGTTTCATTGAGTAGGACATCTGTATTCAACTTTCTGTTGTACTATAAATCTGGATGACAACTCGTTCAGAATAAATAATAAGATTGAATCCAACAACATAAGTCTTTTCGTTTAGCCTTATGTTATCTTGTTTGAAAGTAAAACATGAGGAATTGAAAACTTCATTCTTCAAAATCAATGTATGTTCTACCTGCATGCCTAGTATGCTATTGTATTTCTCGTATTGATTAGGTTCCATGCCTTATGAGGAAAGGGGAGTCGGCGAGCTTGTTGTAGTCGGTCCTAAAAGGAGAGCCCGGTTTCTGCATTACAAAACTTCCTCTTGTTTAATTGGGATTAATTTTGTGAAAAAGTATTTAGCAGTTGAGAGTCAAGGTCTGCGAGTTGTGATTCCTAGTGAACTCTGTCTCCCTAAGGACAAGAAACTAGGTAAATTGGCATGCTCTTTGCTAACCTTTGAATGAAAATAGGGCCAGGATAATCTGGTTTTTGATGGTTAACCATAGATTTTCATAAATATTTGAGATCTATAAGAGACGAACCTCTGCTACTTTCTAACCATTGGGCAAAGAGTATTTCTGGTTGAAATATTTTCTTGCCTATATCATACCCAAGATTGACCATTTAAATAGGAACTTGGTTCTCTAACACCTTTTATGTTATTCATAAAATTAAATTAGAAAATTGTTTTAAGTTGAATTTGAAATCCTTTATGCTTTGATTTGCTGATAATTCCTATTTTTTTCCGTTCCGTCATATGTGTATATGTTTACTTTAAACAAAGATGCATATGTTTGTTAAAATAAGAGAAGAGGTGAAAATTGATGCATTTTATTTTTGCGCTATATAAAGTGTTCAGCTATATAGGAAACCAACGTTTGCACTGACTGTAATTTTGGGGGAAGACAAAAAGGGCCATTGTCCTAGCAATAAGTTCAGATCAT